GAGCATAAAAAACACACAAGTAGTGTCTCACTCAGTTCATGTCATTCCCCTCCAAAGAGCCTTCAGTAGTTATCCATGACCTACCTAACTCATTCAAACATCTAATTCTGACATTCCAAACACCAATAGTATGGATCCACCCTACTTAACATCACAGTGGAGGAGATGATAGCATGTCAGTAGACATCCGCAATGGATTCACAGATGGGAAGACCTCAGTTCAAATCCTCTTCATCATTTATTAGATGTGTAAACATGGACAAATCACGGAACCTCCTCAGTCTAAATGTCCTTGTCTATATGAGGGGATTGATAATGCCAGTAATAGATGCCTTCAGGTACTACAGCTTTTTATCCACTATGTCATGCTAGAAAACCTGGGTTCAAGCCTTGCCTCTAGTATGTACTGGCTGTGTAATCTTGGATAAGTCACTAAACCTCTGAGTGCTCCAGACACTCTGGCTGTAAACTGGAGCACATTTGTATCTACATTGGTAGAGGATATTGCCTTGCTGGAAGTTCCCTATAACAATGAAATCAAAGATTATAGATGAAATAACAAGAACAACAACCCTGTCCTATAGTGTATTTGGGAGGTTCATGTGAAATATGTCCAAGTTTTTAGTCTTTGCTATTAAAACCGTCCTCAACTACCCTACCTGCAGCTAACTATACCCTCTTATGCATACTCTAGCTGCTTCTAACTTGTGTCCTCTTGCCTTATTTCCACTACAATTATTAATAGATAAATAAAAACACAATTAACTATCACAACTTTAATGGAATGTCATTTTAATGTCCTTGGTTTAGCTAGGTAGCACAGTGCCAGATCTGGAGTCAGGAAGACCTGAGATCAAAACCAGCCTCAGACTCCCACTAACTGTGTGGCCCTAGGCAAGTCATATAACCCCAGCTTGCCTTAGTTTCATTATCTGTAAAATGAGGGTAATGATAGAACTTACCTCCCAGAGTTTTTGTGAGGATTAAGTAAGATAATACTTGTAAAACACTTAGCACAGTACCTGGCACATAGTAGGAGCTATATAAATATTAGTTATTATTATTAGTATTATTCTCCCAAGTATCTCTACCATGAGCTAGTCATTATTATAGGCAAAATAGCATACCAATAGTCCTAGAACTTTCCTTAAACACAGAACTTTAGAGCTCAAAAGAAATCTTAGAAATCATCTAATACAATAGTTTTCAAAATATGGTTCTAGAATCCCTGGGGCTTCCCAGAAACCAAAAAAATTGAGAATTGTTGATATAGTCCAACTCCCTGATCCTACAAGTGAGGAAAATGAGGCTCAGAGAGTTGCCATCGCTTTCCATAGGTCATTTAAAGTAGTTAGTGGTGGAACTTGAACTAAAGGATGTATCTATGAGTCTAGGCAAGTTAGTTAACCTCATTTCTCAGTTTCCTTATCTAAAAAATGAGGAGATTGGATTCAATCATCTCTAAGACCATTTTCAGCTCTAAATGTATGAGCACACCAGGATCACCTCTATAATTCAGAGTAGCAGAGAGATAGTAATGTCAATGTTATGTATAGCTTCCCACAAATATTGTAGAATATTTAAAATAATAAATGAAAATATGTTGAGATATTCTAAAAAGACCCAGAAGAGATAGATATTGATGAAGAACACTAAGGGTGAAACTAAAATTTGAAATCTCAGATGGCAAATATCAAGTATAGGAATCAGTTAATCAGTTACTAGGTATTTATTAAGTGCCTACTATGTGCTAGGAGCAGTGCTAAGCAATGAAGATACAAAAAGAGAGAAAAGATGGTCTCTGCCCTCAGGAAACTCACAATCTAATAAGAGTTAGAAAAATTTAAGAGGTAAGCCACTTTCCGCTAATAATTATAGATATTTACCTCTGCAAATAATCTAACACTCAGACCATGTTAATTTAAACAGTGGGTCTTTCACCATTTCCCTGTAATAGCAATTTAATATAACAAACATTTACTTCACTTACTGGAATCAGCATTTTAGAACTAGAAGGGACCTTGGAGATCATTTAGTATACCACCCCATCATTTTACATAGCTGAAAAATTTCAGTTGAAGTGATTTGTTGACAGTACCATAGCTAGTTAATGGCATATCTGGTTCCATGAAACTTAAATGCTAACTGGTCCATGTTGGCCTTAGATCCAAGTTTTTAAAAAGAAAGGGACCTTAGAGATCATTTAGTACAATACAATTTCTTGACTCTATCCATTGGCATTTTCACTTAACCATGGTGAGTAACATTTTTTGAAGTAGGCATAAGTCATTTTAAATTTTTTTCCCATTAAATCAATCTCTTCAGGTGTTTGATAAGAGAAGAAAAGAATCTGAGGTCAACTCAGAGGTTTTTTTTTTTTTTTTAACAAAATGAGTGTTTGTAATTAATTTTGTGATAGTTATAACAGAAAAGGTTGTGAATGTCACAGATAGGACTTTAGGACTTTATTGCAAGATCAACAAGGTTATAATAACATGGTTATAATGATCTTGCCTTAATACATTTGTTACTTAACAAATAAATGAAAAATAGTGAAAGGTGTGGAAAATGACTTCAGAAGTAGATATTTCTGAACATTTTTTCCATTGTAAAAATCTTATGTTTTTTATTTCATATGTCAAAGTGGAAAATGCCCCCTGTTGCTAGAGGTAAGCTAGAAAAGGTGTAAAAAATAATAAATTCTTCTTTTTACATTGTTGAAAGAGGAGAGATTTCTTTTCATCTAAGAACTAATATTCAGGACTTGGTCTGAAAACATTTTAATTTCTCCTTTGCTTACTTTACTTACTCCCTCTAGTTGAGTAGTAGCCTGTCTCTCAAAACCTGTTCTCTGAAAGTGTTTTTATAGAACCATCACTATATGTGTTTATGCTATTGCATTTATTTTTTTTTAATCAGAGGAGACAGATCCTACATAGGCTAGTTATCTAATTTGATGCACTGTGAGAATAAAGGTGGGAATTCTAACCCTGACTGTTTAAGCTCTATCACTCATACAGCCATAGCTTCATTAGAGGGTCGTTGACAGCAGAAGTACTGAGGGGAAAACTGGAACTATTTGCCATACTAAAAATATCAACATCAAAATCAAGTGTAATAGAATCATCTAATTTAGGGACAGGAAACCTGTGGAATATGAAAGAATAATTATTAAGGCTTGACTATTTCATCATGGAATCTTCCCTTTCTTCTCTTCCTAAATCCTCTCCTCCTTCCACTATATGCTCCCTTTCCCATCTTTCTTCTCTCTGGCAGGTGCCTACGCTGCTATGAGGTCCCACCGATGTTAGAACTCATAAGATCATAGATTCAGAGCTGATAGGAACTTGAGATATCATCTAGTCCAACTTTTCATTTTGAGAAAAATTGAGGCAGAGCCTTAGCGAGAAATGGAACCCATATCTGACTCCATATCCGCCCTCTTTCTATTGTACTACATGCTTGGTAGGTCAACCGAATAGCATTCAGAGACAGCTTATCCTACTCTTAATCTAATCAATTAAGGAAATATATTTGCCTATTGAAACCCAATAAGTGTGTTTCTTGCACCACTTTTATGAGCCATAAAGTTTGAGAAATTTACAAAATACTTTTGGAGTTGATTAGAGGGGGGCCTGAATTCAAAACAACCAGCAAAAAGGCTTCTATATCTAATTTCCTGATTATAGGCTACAGAGTTTGGTCATTTTCTAGTAGATAATAAAGATAATTGCAATCTTGCCCCTTAAGCTGGAAGAATTGGGCTAAATAGTTAATGTTTCTTTAAAGCCATTTAAACATTTCACTCATCTCAATTATTAACTTGTAGAGACAGAGCAGAAGAGTGGATACAGTGGTCAGCTTGGAGTCAGAAATCATGAGTTTAAATCCTACCTCTTAAACTTATTAGCTACATCACCCTGAACAAGGCACTTAAATTCTATGTGCTTCAGACAACTTCCTAAGACATAAAGACTCCTTGGCATTGAAATTTCAAATTCTTCACTATTTGGTTAACATTTACCCATAACATTGACAGGTTGCTTTCTCTATTCCAAGTATATTTACAAAAATGCTATTTAATTTGTTCCTAGACTTATAGGATAAGCAGCTTTCTAACTCAGTTATATTTCTTATCTTTCATCCTCCTAGTAGCAAGGGAAACTTACCTTTCTTTGATTCTTGAAGATTATTTTATTATCCCTCCATTTATTCTTTTACAAATGCAAGAATTATTTTTTTTCCATCTCTTCACTGGATATAAAGCTCATGGCTATCCCAGTTCTTCCTCAGTCCCCTTACACAAAGAGAGTACTTGGGTTTAGAATGAATAGAGGATATTAATTTCAAGATGGCTTTTCATTTAGTTTTGGAGACAAAACACTCAGTATAGTGAGAAGCAAAAAATAACAAACCAAAATTGAGGAACATTAGAGGAAAAATAGGAGAGTCTCAATGTATTCATTAAATAATACAGTAACCCAAATAATAAGAGGCAATTCTCAATAAATGATTTTTAAACTATATGGCAGATAGGATGTATTTTAAACAATCTAATTCCAGCCCCCTGACTAAAAAATTACAGGTTTTGAAAGAAAAATATGAACTAGGAATCATATTTTCGTTAAATATGCTGTAACTGAACATTGAAAATATTTATGTATAAATATGGAAGCCTTCAGAATCAGATTAAACAACATATTGATTTGTGCCTATTTATGACAACTTGGTTTCTTACCTTTTCTTAGATCGATACCAAATGCTAAAGGTATTTCTTAAATGATTACTCATATATGTTGAAATGTAAGTTAACTCATCATTTTTCTTGCTTGCTATAGTTCTAAACGTTCTTTAACATTGGTCCAGCGAGTCTCTCTCTTTCTCTTTCTCTGTCTCTCTCTCTTTCTCTCTCTCTCTCTCTCTCCACCTCTCTCTTTCTGTGAGGTTCATTTGTTAACTGATTTAGAGTTTCCATAATGACTGTTTGGCATATCCTACAGGCAAAGGTCCCGAGACCCTTTTTGCTGGCTATAACCTCAATGATAATGAGTGGCACACAGTGCGTGTGGTTCGACGAGGAAAAAGTTTAAAGTTAATGGTGGATGACCAGCAAGCCATGACAGGTAAGTGGTATCATCTACCCCTGCCAACCTCCTGAGGCACTCCTACCCCATGCTTTGTGACCATGACTTGTGGCTGACAGCTGCCCGAAATATAAAAAGATTCAAGACTGGAAGAAACTACCCATGATTCATTTCCCTTAACCTCCTATAAATGGAATTATTTTATTAGAGGGAATATTTGGTCCTGAATTGTGACAAGATTATATGTGTGTCATGGATATTTTACCTCAACAAATTAACACAAAATCATATTTATATTTGAATTAAGTGGATACTGATTAATTTTTACAGACCAATCTCAATTATGGAGGTATTTTATAACTTTTAGTGTTAGTAATGTGTGTGTTTAAGGAGTTGGGTGGGAGAATTTGAGTCTCTTTGTAGAATTTATTTTTTCTATTATTGCACATTCTTTAACTTACTCTTTCAAATGAATTAAAAGTACACCAAAGATCCATAGACACTTTGACACTATTCACCCACAGATGTGTCTTTAGTGCATAACTATACAAAGATTTGGTTTGGGCCAGTACTATTATGAGGAGTTTTGGAAATTGGAAAGATCTAAAATCACAGCCCATGGTTCAAATTTTGTCATTGGCACCAGCTGTCTGTGTGATGGAAGTCACTTAACATCTCAGGGCCTTGGTTTCCTAATCTGTGAAATAAGAAGGTTGAACTATATTGCTTTTAAGCTCCGTTCCAACTTTAAATCAACAGTCTAAGGTCAATACTATAGGTTATTTCTACAGGTTGGCGAATAAGCATCTTTCAAGTCTTAGGAATCTCAAACCCTTTCGAGCTACTAGGAACAAGGAGAAAGAGCATGATTTCATCCCTGCTACTGGAAAAACAAGTCAAAACTCCTGACCTACTGGTGAAGGGCAGCACAATATTTGATGCTCAGTACGTGCTATAAATGATCCTAGTGCCCTAAAAGAGTAAAATGACCTCATTTATTAGCAGAGATGAGCTGAAGAATAATAGGATCTATGGATATAGCAAAATTATTTTGGGTAGGATCCTGTCAGGTCACCAAACCAATATGATCATGCTAATCAATAAGTTATTAATGAAGTGCAGTTTATGGTATTCTATAATTTTCCAAACAATGCCACACACCTGATCCAAATTTTTCCTCACAAGAACTCTTTCAGTTTGGTAAAAACAAATGGCAGCAGCTAGGTGGCCCCAGTGGATAGAGTGCTGGTCATAGAGTCAAGAAGACTCATCTTCCTAAGTTCAAATCTGACCTCAGATACTTACTTGCTATGTGACTCTGGATATGTCACTTAACCCTGTTTACCTCAGTTTCCTCACATGTAAAATGAACTGGAGAAGACAACGGCAAACCACTCCAATATCTTTGCCAAGAAAACCCCAATTAGCGTCATGAAGAGTCAGACATGACTAAAACAACTGAACAAGGCAAAAAACAAATGTTTTTATCCCAATTTTGGATAATCTAACTGAGACTCAAAAAGATGGAATTTTTTTCTGAGTTGACCTGGCTAGTAAATAACAGAGGGAGGTCTAAAATCTGGGTTTTATAATTCCTAGTCTAATCTATAATAGTACCCAGCTTCTCAGTTACTGAGTACCTGCAGCCAGAATGGTGGAGAACCTTGAAAGATGGGTAGGTTTTTAGGAAAGAAGAAAAATAGAGGTATGTATTATAGGTGACAGAAATGGGTATGTATAAAGGCACCAGGATAGAAAGACACAAATCATATCTCGAAGAAGTGAACAGAATGTTGGTGATGAACATAAAAGCTTGAGAACAGAGCTGAATTCCGCAGTTCAAGTGTATAAGCAACATAAAGATTTACTTAGCACATAAGTGCCTATATTCCCATTTTGGATGATAAAAAAAAGCCCCTATGAGCTTTTCTAGAAGAGATTTCCAGTGCCAAACATTGACAAGAGGACAAAATGGCAGGCTCTGAGTGAATAGAAGTCAGGAACTGACCTGTTTTCTTTTCTGTTCCAATTTTTGTTTAAGAGGACTTCTGCAGGTTTCTCTTTTAGATATTCAGAAACCATGCTTCCCTATTTCCTCAGCTTTGGTACTCTCATTTTTGGACTGAACTGTCTTGAAAGAAAAAAAGAAAAAGAAAGAAAGAAAAAAAGAAAGAAAGATGGGAGGAGGGAAAGAAGAAAGGAAGGAAGGAAAGAAAGGAGGGAGAGAGAAAAAAGAAAGAACATTCATTAAGTACTACTATGTACCAAGTACTCTGCTAAGCATGTAGATAAAAATAGAAAAATGACACAGGACCTATTCTCAAGGTTCTCATACTCTAGTTGGGGATGATTAAAAACAAAAGAAAGTTCAGATTCAGAGAAGATGGTAAGACCTAGAAATGCTAAAAGTCCAGCAACAAGATGGATGGCAAGGCTCAGAGGTCCTTACATTACATAAATATATCAGATAATATCGCCAGGAGAGTGAAGGAGTAGGAACAAGGCAGATGGTAAAGCTGTGTGACTCTCTGTGTCACCAGAAGGAGTAAAGTTGTTGATCCCATCTCATCCAAGATATGTGGGCAGTCAAGCAACAACAGTGGAGAAAACCATGGTGGTGTCAAGTTTTCACACCACCTGCCATCCAGGGCCAGGATAGCTTATTCTGTGAAAAGAAGTATGAGATAAAAAGAAAGAAAGAGAGAGAGAAAGAAAGAGAGAGAGAAAGAAAGAAAGAAAGAAAGAAGGAAGGAAAGAAAGAAAGAGAGAGAGAAAGAAAGAGAGAGAGAAAGAAAGAGAGAGAGAAAGAAAGAAAGAAAGAAGGAAGGAAAGAAAGAAAGAGAGAGAGAAAGAAAGAGAGAGAGAAAGAAAGAGAGAGAGAAAGAAAGAAAGAAAGAAAGAAAGAAGGAAAGAAAGAAAGAGAGAGAGAAAGAAAGAGAGAGAGAGAAAGAAAGAAAGAGAGAGAGAAGGAGAGAGAGAGAAAGAAAGATAGAGAGAAAGAAAGAAAGAAAGAAAGAAAGAAAGAAAGAAAGAAAGAAAGAAAGAAAGAAAGAAAGAAAGAAAGAAAGAAAGAAAGAAAGAAAGAAAGAAGGAAAGAGGCACATTTTTGTTGCTTAGTCATTTTGGAGTGATTCAAACAATGAGTGAGTGAGTGCAAACTTATCAGAGCTCAACATAGCTAGCCCTAGTCCAGACCATTATCTTCATCCCATCCAGCCATCTACCTGGACCAACTGCTTATCCACCTTATCATCATATAGAACTACTCCCATATCTTGCTCTGGGCACAATTGTCCTATCAATATGGCTATTGTTTCTTTAAAAAAATGTCAACTGACTACTCTATGTGTCAATTTACCATCCTTGTGACTTTCCAGATGAAAAATCCTTTCCCTGATCATCACTCACCTATACATGTATGTCTGTATATATGCCCACATATACATAAACATATGTGGATATGTATATGTGGATGTATATTGTATATACATATGTGTGTATATATGTGTTTACACCTATATTTGTGTGTATATGTATGTATACATATACAAATACCACACACATATACATATAGGGGAGTGATGGTTAGGGAAAGGATTTTTCATATGGGCCATCACTGGATGGTAAGATGATCCATATGGTAGTCAACTGATATCTTTTCCAGAAACAGTGGCAGTCTTGATAAGACAATTGTGCCCAGAGCAAGAGGTAGAAAGTGGAGTAGAGGATGAGATACACATACATGTATACATATGTATATGTGTATATATATGTATACGTATATGTATATGATGTTTTTGTATATGTCTATTTCTATGTAAATACATATATAGTGCTTAAAGGTGTATGTATATATATATATGTCTGTGTGTTTGTGTATATGTATGTGTATATATATGATATATATTTACACACATATGTATGCATATATATATGTGTGTGTATATATATCATATATATATATATATTGCTTAGCACACTACCTGGTTCACAGTAAGCCCTTAAGTGCTTTTTTATTCATTCCTGAAATTTTCTGTATTTTTTAGCTTTTCTTTTTAAAACCTATGCCAGAGTTTGACCTTTTGCCAGGGGCCAGTGACCACCTATGAGCAAATTGGAGCTTACAGGAAGCATTGATTTTCTAATCTGTGTACTACTAACTCTACCCTGGCATAAGGAGACAGGGGGCAATGATTATGTTGGAAAGAACTCATATTTGGAGTCAGGGAACCTGGGTTCAAACCATAGCTCTGCCACTTTTCACTTGAAAAATTCATCTCCCCTTTCTGGCCTCTGTTTGCTCATCTGTAAAGTGAGAGGCATGTGCTAAAATCCCTTCCAGCTTTAAATCCTATGATCCTAAACACATAAAACTAAAAATAGAATTTAATCCTTCTGTGAGGGCATATAAGTATTTGCAGCAGTAGAGGCCATAAAGATATATACTTAATAAAGGAAGAGGACATTAGAGAGAACTTTCAGAAAATGAAAGTTTTAGCTCTGTCAGATAAAATTTATCTTAGAGTATTTAGAGCTGGAAATGACTGTAAACATCATCCAATTCAATCCTTTCATTTTACAGAAGAGGGAACTGAGGCCTAGAGAGATTAAGTGAAACGTTCAAGGTCATACAGCTAGTAAGTAGCAGAGAGATGGAATTTAAACCTCAGCTTTATACTTCAAAATCCTGTGCTCTTTCCATTACGCTAGGATGCCTTCAGCCCTTCATAGCCTCAACTTTCTGGGCATTTCCTCCCCCTTCCCACATCAGATACCATTAACTTTCTCTCTCCTCTATCCTTTCTATCAAAATGTGCCCTTACATTCTTCTCTAGAGATATCTAATAATAGCTCAAAGGTTAACTCCTGTCAGGGTTGTTTACATTTTTAACAAGAATCAACACCTTCAGTTAAAATTTCAGAGTTCATTTCAACTATATACATTATACACTGGACAATTTTTTTTACCATCAGGACTCTGTTATTCCTCCTAAATTTTATTGTTTTAAGCTCCTTTCCTATTCATCTTCCTTCCCTCA